TCGAACACCGTATATACTATACTGGTAGCGTAAAAATTATTTACCCTGTCATCATAGGTTAAATTGCACTAATAATATAAAATCACTATCAGTGTATTTAACCTAAATAATTGGTGATGTACACAAATAGTATCATTTGGTGTCACCATTAAAAATTTAACCTCAGTAAAAAAAAATGTTGGGAAAATAGTCTCTCGTCGTCGGAATATCTTGGGCAAGTCTTATGGTGATTCTGTCAAATTCTGATTTTTGCCATAATTTTGCAAGTTAAAGTTATGGTGATCGTCATAAAATTCTGACGGTTGCCATATTTTGTGCAATTGGCCACAAAATGCTGACCAATCACCAGAATTTTTCATTGAAATTTTTTGAAGCGTGCTTTAAAATTCTAACATGGGGCTATTTTCACAGAACTTTCCTTGATGGGATCAGAATGTAAACTGTAGTTTTAAAAAGGTTCATCCAGCGTAATTTATTCTTAAATATACTTAATGCTGGCATATTGCACCAAATTCTAATGCTTGCATACTGAACCATATTCTCNTCAATTATGCTACAATTGAAATGAGAATTTGGATATTAAAATTCAATGTATCTATTTTGTAGATATCTTGTAGATAAATTGTAGATTATTTGTATTCTGATTGTAGATGCATTATTTTCTGTTTTCACAAATCCAAAACGACTAAAGCTTCTACAAAATCTTAATGCTTAATATACGTAATTTATTCTTAAATATACTTAATGCTTGCATATTGCACCAAATTCTAATGCTTGCATACTGAACCATATTCTCACATAAAGCCAGTTTTTGCTTTCCTTCAGGCTTGAAAAGGACATCCGTTTTAACTATTTTTGGACGCGATATGCAAAATTGATCTCTGTAAGTCACAGTTATATATAATTTAAGCATAGGATCCTAAAGATAACTCCGGATATTAATTCATTACTAAGAATATGCATTTCTTTTGTTTTTTGAATTCAGGTAACTTTATTTGCAGTGCATTGTGCTGGATGCTTTAACTATGTGATTGCAGATAGATATCCTGATACAAAAAAAACATGGATTGGTGCATCAAATCCTGATTTCAAAGAAGAAAGTCTATGGGATAGATATATAACTTCACTTTATTGGTCTATTGTAACACTAACAACAACTGGATATGGAGATTTACATGCTGAAAATCCAAGAGAAATGCTCTTTGATATCTTCTACATGTTATTCAACTTAGGATTGACATCGTATATCATTGGTAACATGACAAATCTTGTTGTTCACAAGACCGGCTACACCAGAAATTTCGTATGCTCTCTCTCTCTCTCTTTAGCGTGTATTATAACCTGTTAAAATATACTGATAGTGTAAAAGTTATTCAACTTCGTGATTTGTTATGCAGAGGGATAAAGTTGAAGCAGCTCAAGAATTTGCAAGACGAAATCAGTTGTCGCCGCGGATACAAGATCAGATTTTGTCTCATGTCTGTCTCAAGTTCAAAACTGAAGCATTACAACAAAATGAGACATTGAATGTCTTGCCAAAATCAATCAAAACAAGCATTGCACATTACTTGTTTTTCCCAATAGTTCAAAATATCAGTCTGTTTCAAGGTGTTTCCAGGGACATGCTTTTCCAACTGGTAATTTCTGTTCTATATTGACCCCTCTTCCCCTTAGGCAGATACAACCTATATTCAATGGATTCAACTAAACCAGTATTTTCGGTGCAGAATATACATATATATATGAAAAACCAATAAGTTTTGAACAAACATTAAATTCATAATGGTAGTGTGAACTCCATTATTTCACTCGATACATGTTACCTTCCACTTAGGCCGATACAGCCTATACTCAATNATATATATATATATACGTGGAAACCACCAAATTTCAACAAATATTAAACATTGGACCTATCATATTCAAAAGTATATTGTGTTCCGTGCCAAAAATTTAAATGTCGAACCTATCAAATTCAAAAGTAATTTGGCCTTCTTTTTTAACTATTCTTTACCACTATGACATACTAAAATTTATTGAAAAAATGATGTGTTGTCCTGCTTTAAGATTCCTGAAATGGAAGTTGAATATTTCCCTCCCAAGGAAGATGTGATTCTACAAAATGAGGCTCCAACAGAATTGTATATAATAGCCTCTGGAGCAGTGGTAAGTTAACAAATTTTGAATAATTACTTCAATTCTTGGATTTTGCAGTTCATATTATTAATCAGTTATGTATTATTGCAGGATTTGCTAGCAGATATCAATGGAAATGAACAAGTATAAACACTCAGCCACATTATGTTCATTTTAAATATAGAATTCAAATACTTTAGCCTAATATTTTTTTCTGAAACCTGTCCGCGAACAGATCATTGGAAAGGCTGTTGCTGGAGAATCATTTGGAGAAATAGGGGTTTTATTTGACAGGCCACAGCCATATACTGCTAGAACAACTCGGCTTTCTCAAATTTTACGCGTGAAAACGACAATGCTATTGAACATTATTCGAACAAATCCAGAAGATGAAGGGATTATAATGAAAAATCTTGTTCTGGTGAGTGTAAAAAACATATGAATGAATTGTTTTCAGCCAACTTCTCCTTGGTTTTTCTTCTTTTTTTTTCCCTCTATGTATGAGCAAAGTGAAATATAGTATCAACTATTTTCTTTTTTCTTGAAAATAGAAGCTACAAAGTTTTGGAGGCTTTGGTTATGCGGACCAAGAAAGTGACCAAAATTTAGTCTTCAACAACTGGTCAAATGGAGGACAAAGAGATGAAAACTACTCTCATCTTTTACAACAAGATACACCAACCAATCCCAGTAACCTGATTAGCATAAATATCCAAAATTTAGAAGCTAGAGTTAAAAAACAAGAAGAAGATGAAGGTGACAGTAATGGAGATCAACTCGACGCGAAAGGGTTGATAGCAATAACTCAAGCAGAACATGAAGGAAATAAAAGCATGCATGAGTTGTTATCAGATTTTGAAAATGACAGTGAGTTAAATGAGAAGAAAGGAAATTTCACTAGCTTAGATGAAGAAACAAGGAGTAGTCAATTCAAGAATTCAAGAAATGAGGTCCCCTGCTGCTCTTATTCAAGCAATAGAAGATCTACTTCCACAAGCTTTATTGGTGCAAAAGGGACAAAATCAACAAAGAAGAGAGTTACCATTCATATGAAAAAGAATAATTCATTTAAGGAGCATTATGGGAAGCTAATAATACTACCTGATACACTTGAAGAGCTATTCAAAATAGCAGGTGAGCTTTTATTTCACCTTACTATATCTCTTCGTAGAGGAGCCTTGGCATAACTAGTAAAGCTGATGTCATGTGACCAGGAGTTCACGGGTTTGAGCCATGGAAACAGCCTCTTGCAGAAATGTAGGGTAAGACTACGTAAAATGGACTCTTGTGAGTTGGCCCTAACCCAGATTTCGCGCATAGAGGAAGCTTAGGGTGTGTTTGGTATGAAGGAAAATATTTTCCGAAAAATGTTTTCCAATTTTCCCATGTTTGGTTGGCTTAAATGTTTTGGAAAATATTTTCCTTATCAATTCATTTCCTCCAATTGGAGGAAAATGTTTTCCTTATCAAGAGAAGGGAAAACATTTTCCAAAGCTCCTTCTGAACCTTCCCCACCCCATCAACCCACCTCACCCCCTTTCCAAAAAAAGGTTTTTTTTTTCTTTTCAAATTTCAGTTTTTCCGT